GAACCGCTGCCGGCCTCTTCCCCTCCTGCACCCATCTGCCCCTTTTCTGACGTTGTTGTCCCCTTGAATTTTATTTTATTTTTTTGGCGTGGGGCTGCAGGTCCATGTCCCTACTCCCTCCACCCTCCGTCGTGCCGATGGTGCGACTCCTTACCTGGGGACAGCGAGGGTGTGGGGCAGGGTCCCAAAAAGCCCTTTCCTCTGGGCTCTGCGGACCTTTACATATGACTCTGTATTTAACAAATAACCCTCTTTCTTTGCCCAAAGTACCCATCCTGTCTTTGGGCTGAGCACTTTCCCTGAGTGCAGGAGCACTGTGCCTGCCTCCGCCGTGGTGCCAATGCCAGGGCCTTCAGTGCGAAACACGCAGGGGAAGAGCTGCTGCTCTTGGACTGAGCTAATTATCTCGAGCCGAGAGCTGGTTAATTATCGCGGGCGATTGACACTCCTTGCGCTGAGCGTCTCACGGGCACGATGGATGGTGTAAAGTCACCGATTCTCCCTGCGGCACTGGAGGTCCCACCGGCGGAGCTGGGCTCTGGGGGCCTCTCCATCGGCACAGCGATGCTCACGGGGTGGGAGGGCTGAGGTGTCTGCGTGTGAAACGCTGGTGCTGGGGGTGTCAGGGAAGCAGGATCCTGCCACTGTAGTGGTGGTGGTTTTTTGTTTGTTTTTTTTGTTTCTTTTTTAATTAAAAGAAGGGCTTTCTCTTCCAGATGGTGACTCTTGGGATGTTTTACCAGAAAGGAGTAGGTGCAGTATTTTCTGACATGTATCTTTGCTCTCTGTTTGAGCTCCGTTTATAACAAGGCTGCAGAGGGTTAACGACGGAGCGTGAGACAGCAGAGTTATGCCTTTAGTTATAAATACACCCGTGGAAAGTGTTACGGACGGTTTTAAGCAAGCATCTGACTTGCTGGACTCTAGAAATTGAGGAATCATTTTTTAAAACAGATGTTTTACATTTCTTTGTCTTTCATAAAGAGGAAGACCTTGGGAGAGGACCTGGAGAGGGACACATTAAAGACCAGCGATGCCAGACTGGGTCTCGGCATCTCTTTGGGGTGCCCAGCGCCACGGCTTGGGACCCATGGGCGGTTCGGACAACCATGGTGTCCGGGGACTCGGGGGGCCAGGGATCGCTCTTGGACCAGTTTCCCCAGCACTGGTGGGGATGGCTCCTGGGGAGGGACCGCTCGAGCCTGCGCCCCTGGGACGGCATCTATTTGGGGCAGAGGACATTCGTTACAGAACATCCTGAATCCCGCGGCAGCCCCCGGCGCTTGTCCAAACCTGATAAGTCTCAACTATGACAAGGTTCAGGCTTTGCCCTGGCCGGCTCCCTGACTGCAGAGCGGCCCCAGGGACGCACCCCAGCTGCGGGGCCCCCTGTGTTAGTGACCAGGGGGATGGGCTTTTGTGATGGCAGATTGGGGGAGGGGCAATGTCAAACCTGGCTATAAATGCGGAGGGGTGCTGGAAGCAATGGGAAGAGTGGGGCTGGCAAAAAGGGCTGCCCTGGGGGCTCAAAATCCACATGAGGATGGGAATGGCTGAGCCCTGCTTGCCCAGAGGTGTTTCTTGGGGGGTTTGCAAGAACCAAGCAGGACCAGAGCCATAGGGAGGACCTGGAGCTGCGGGGACATCCCACTCAACCCCATCCCGAAGCCCTGCTGCGGGCAATGCCAGCGGCGTGCAGGAACCCCACCAGCCAGTTCTGGGGGCCGGGAGCACTGACAGCGGTGCGGTCGTGACGGGGGGCGCAGCTGGGGAGCGTGGCGACGGCGGGACGGCTTGGCACGTCCCCAGCTGCAGCGAGCGGAGGGGCGGCCGCAGCCCCCGAGCCACCGCCGCCGTGCCGGGCTCCCCGGCCGAGGGAGGCAGTTGTGTGATGCTTGCTCTGTCTTCACACGGCTTGATGGCTCTGTGCTGTTGCCAGCTTCTGCGCTGTCATTGCAAAGCTCCCCCTGCTTGGCTCTGAAATCCCCTGCTCCTGGAGTCATGGGGTTGCGTGGGTGCCTCCACCTCCTCCTCTGTGATTTAAAATGGGGAGGTTGCGAAGGGGGAAAAAAAATCCTTCCAACCTCTGAATGTGCACAAAAGAAAACGCATGTGAAGAAACCTGTTGGTGTTGGGTTTTAAAATCACAGCCAGCATCTTTGTATGGGGGATGAGCCTGAATCCCCAGCAGCATGGTCCCGGCAGACCGTGGCTGGCTCTGCCCAGGGGGAAGGTGGGACCTGCGAGGCTTGGTGTAGCGCAGCCTCCTCTTGCCCACTGGAGGCTTGTCTGGCAGCTGCTGCCGTAGAGGAGAGAGGGGGAAGAGGATTGAAGCATGGTGGCTGTTTATCTTGCTTAATGTGGGTAATGAATGTAATTGCGCAATTAGCTGCAAACCCTGGCGCTACTTTCCTGTCCCAGAAGAGCTGCGAGGGGGATAATCCCAAATGGATTGAAGGAATAAGGTGATGCCGATGCTGAACGCTTTAGGGCAGCTTGGTCCCCCACCGTCCGGAAGCTTCCTATGGTCTGATGGGTTTGTGCTGGTGATTCACAGTCCTTTGCCTTCTTTCACCTGGAGAAATGGGACTTTTTGCTCTTCTTGTGGCTGATGGGAGGGAATGGTCCCTCCAGAGAACCATGGGTCAGCCCAGATACAGTGTAACATGCCCTCTGGAGGTTCTTCTCCCTTCTTGTAGGGCATCCTATGGAGAGGATGGTGCTAACCTGGGTTTCTCCAGCTGGCCAGGCACTGGGGGCAGTCAGGCTGGCCTGGGCAGGGTACCAGAGCGCATGGCAGGTCTGCGGCACAATGTCCCTCTTGCTGGTCTCTCTTTACGCATCCCTCAACCTTTTTTTCTAGCACTTCCCATCCTTCTTGCCTGCTTTCCACCCCCACCCAGCACCTTGTTTCTCCTAGCAAACCCCTCTCTGTCCTCACCCCCTTTCCCACAGCTCCCGGAGGAAACATGCCAGCTCTTTGCAGGCTGGGATGAGCGCGGCTCTGGGGCAGGTGAATCTGGTCTCGTCCCTGCCAGGGATGCAGTGGTGGGTACTGCTGGGCTGGGACCAGGCACCGGTCCTTTGTTTTTTGTTATTAAGTCACCTTGTTATGCTGGTGGGGGGGGAAAGGAGGGAAGTAGTGGGATGCGGCGATGAGAGGGGCATTACGGAGGCTGCTGCGGGATCCAGTCTGGAAAGGCCAGGCGAGCAAAATACGCCTTGCCCCCATCTCCGCTGCCGCCCATCCTCCTGCATGCC